TTTTTTAGCTTCCTTGGGTCCCCAGTAGACTATAAAAATATTGGAAACATTTAAATTTTATTCAAGGCAGAAATTGGAATTTTTTTTCTTAAATTATGGATGAAAAATCTCTGTAATTTCGTCCAGAGTTCGAGTCCCGCGGTCGCAATTTTTTTTTAGCTTCCTTGGGTCCCCAGTAGACTGAAAAAATATTGGGAACCGTTAAATTTTATTCAAGGGAGAAATTGGAATTTTTTTTCTTAAATTATGGATGAAAAATCTCTGTAATTTCGTCCAGAGTTCGAGTCCCGCGGTCGCAATTTTTTTTTAGCTTCCTCGGGTCCCCAGTAGACTGAAAAAATATTGGGAACCGTTAAATTTTATTCAAGGGAGAAATTGGAATTTTTTTTCTTAAATTATGGATGAAAAATCTCTGTAATTTCGTCCAGAGTTCGAGTCCCGCGGTCGCAATTTTTTTTTAGCTTCCTTGGGTCCCCAGTAGACTGAAAAAATATTGGGAACCGTTAAATTTTATTCAAGGGAGAAATTGGAATTTTTTTTCTTAAATTATGGATGAAAAATCTCTGTAATTTCGTCCAGAGTTCGAGTCCCGCGGTCGCAATTTTTTTTTGGCTTCCTTGGGTCCCCAGTAGACTATAAAAATATTGGAAACATTTAAATTTTATTCAAGGCAGAAATTGGAATTTTTTTTCTTAAATTATGGATGAAAAATCTCTGTAATTTCGTCCAGAGTTCGAGTCCCGCGGTCGCAATTTTTTTTTAGCTTCCTTGGGTCCCCAGTAGACTATAAAAATATTGGAAACATTTAAATTTTATTCAAGGCAGAAATTGGAATTTTTTTTCTTAAATTATGGATGAAAAATCTCTGTAATTTCGTCCAGAGTTCGAGTCCCGCGGTCGCAATTTTTTTTTAGCTTCCTCGGGTCCCCAGTAGACTGAAAAAATATTGGGAACCGTTAAATTTTATTCAAGGGAGAAATTGGAATTTTTTTTCTTAAATTATGGATGAAAAATCTCTGTAATTTCGTCCAGAGTTCGAGTCCCGCGGTCGCAATTTTTTTTTAGCTTCCTCGGGTCCCCAGTAGACTATAAAAATATTGGAAACATTTAAATTTTATTCAAGGCAGAAATTGGAATTTTTTTTCTTAAATTATGGATGAAAAATCTCTGTAATTTCGTCCAGAGTTCGAGTCCCGCGGTCGCAATTTTTTTTTAGCTTCCTTGGGTCCCCAGTAGACTAAAAAAATATTGTAAACCATTAAATTTTATTCAAGGGAGAAATTGGAATTTTTTTTCCCTAATTATGGAAGAAAAATCTCGGTAATTTCGTCCAGAATTCGAGTCCCGTGGTCGCAATTTTTTTTAGCTTCCTTGGGTCCCCAGTAGACTAACAAAATATTGGGAACCGTTAAACTTTATTCAAGGCAGAAATTGGAATTTTTTTCTCGAATTTTCAACGTTAAATCTTGGAAATTTCGTTTGCAATCTAAGTCTCGCGCTCACAATTTTTTTTAAACTTCTTTTAATCCCCAATAGACTGAAAAAAAATTGGGAACTGTTAAATTTTATTGTCGAGAAAAATTAAAAATTTTTCGTAGAAGTTGAACGGATAATCTTTTAAAAATTAAATTATTTTTCTTTAACTTCTACTTGTTTTAAAAAAAGTAATAATAATTTTCCTATTTCTAAATGCATTTATTAATTAATAATAAAAGAATCATTTGTTATTGTAAATTTCAATGTTGTCGTTATTATTTTCATTATTTATTTTAAAAAATATTTAAATTCTTTTTTGATATTTTTTCTTGTTATTCATTTGTTTTCTAATGAATAACCTTTGAATTATATACATTCCTTTTGATGTTTAGATTTTTGACAAATGATATTCTTTTGTTTTAATACCAACTTGAATATTTCAAAAATTAAATGGGTGCTAATAAGTAGGTGCCAGCTTCAGCTTCATCTCTACGTGCATAAAATTCACATTCATTTTTTCTTATGAGAGTTATCATCAGTTTAATGGTCGAAAGCTTGAAATTGTTCCACCGATAGGCTGATATCTCTCTCAACAGTTTAATGAGTCTTGAGGGAAAATTAAAAAAATATAATACTATCCTCTTTGTCTTACTTATAGCTTGGGACATAATACTTATAATAAATTGTATTCGTATTTTTTGACAGCCTTACAATCCTTTCACCCATTGCTTTCAGCTTTTCAACATATTTTTTAACTATTTTTTTCACTTTCTCGGGAATTTTCTATTGGAAAAATTTGATTCGCTTAATGTGAAAAAATGAACGCTTTTTAATTATTTTTTCTATTTATACCAGTAAGGTTTTATATTAAATAGGAATTGATTGAAAAAATATTTTCTTTTTTTATATGTTTTCAAGTATTCAAATGAAATAATTATTGTTTGGTAAAATTTAAAATAAATAAAGAATAAATCTTTACACCCTAAGTAAACTGTGGCTGAAAGATGAGACATTATTTCTATAGAGACTATTGGAGTGTTGGTTCATGGGCAGATTAATGTACATTATTTGAGTTGAATCAGTGTCAATCAGATTCCATAATGTTTTATTGGGTTCTCCATTGTGATGACTTCTTTCCACGGAAACATTTCTTCTTTCCTCAGCTAAATAAATTTTCCCTCTCGTCGCTATATGGCCCATTGTCTACCTCAGATGGTATCGCGTTTTTCCCGTTGCTATACCACTCAACCGACTAGACGTACTTCCACATTTTTAAATACTCCTCCCACGATGATCTGTCGTTTTTGGTTTTGGTCCATCCTGAGATATTTAATTTACCTGCTACCATGATTCTTTTGTGATAGGTGCCTTCAACCCCAGCGACTTGGTCAATCTGAACAAAATCATGTATGACAGGGTAACTTGTGGGATCATTTTTCGCTTAAAACTCATCAGCAAATATGGAGTATAATATAGTGTTTGTGTTAATTATAAATTAGGGATGCAACTTCATCACCAGAGAATATGTTGAAATATGCGCGACTCCTAATTTCATTTCATTTGATAACATATAACATTCAAAATAAATGTAATATATGTTGAAATGATTAAGCTTGAAATACAATTTCACTTACAATTAGAAAATATGTTAATTAAAGTATTTATACTTGGTAAATGAAGAATCAAGGGTTTTGTTGAAATAGTCTCAACAACTGCGAGAACAAAATTCAAAGCAATAGAAATTTAGTGAACTCTTGGCAAAATTCGTTTAAGAGAGATAACTCGATAGCACAAGACTCATCAAAATGTGAGATCTCTGGGAAGGTTTTCAAGATTACATTGCAAGCTAGCGGGTTCTTACTCGTTTAGAGATTCAGCTCAATAGATAAAACGAGTCAAAGAAAATGAAATTCAACTGAAATTATTTAAAAGTAAAGAACTAAGGCCATGTGTTTTAGGTTTGTTTGACCCGTAGTAAAACAGCAAGTGAAGCGACGAATGATGCAACATGTACTCTTTGTAAGGAAACAAATTGCTTGTATAACGAGAGGATTATATATGAGACATATTTGTGGAAATTATGAATTTAGAGGTAATTTGAATTTTAAAGATATGAAATTTCGGGGCAATCATGCACGCTTATGTTTCTGAAAGGTTTACCTAATTTACATAAGTTGTCGCAAGTTCTGAGAGAATATGAGATGCACTTAGTAAACGTAGAAGATTGTTTTGGATACATGTAGTTCACCCATGAAATTGTCTCGTATGTCACACAAGATAAATTTGTCCAAAATGTATAATATAAGCACGAAATGCCTTGGCAACTGCCAACACCTGCACATAAAGCTTGGTTTGATTTAAGTCGTAATGAAACTGGAATCACTAGATTGTGGTTCCTGCATGAGATGGCGAGGAGAAATCGTGTCAAGTGGGTTTTGCATAATCGTTATGTGCTTCTCCACTGGAACTTGGCTATGCACTCTCCTACATCTTCGAGAGAGAATCCCATTCTATCCTCCCGGACTTCACTTCCAGTCACAGTTACATGAAATAATTACTTACTTCCAACCATATACATTCTGATAAGAAGCAAAATGTCCTTTTCATCCACCAACAAGAAAAAAGAGAGGAAACTGTAATAAATTTGACGGAATCATTTCTCAGAAATAAATCTCAAGTCGAAGAAATTATTTGATTCGAAGAATACGTGTAGAATGTTAAATAACCTAGAAAAGTTGGATCTATTTTCTAATATTAAGGACGAAGCATTTTAACAAGAATTTGGCGAAGGAGAACTATTCGCTTCAATTCTTGGCTGAGTCTGTGCTGAGCTAATAAAATATTTCCTTTATCTTGGTTTTGATGAAAAATTAGATTTCCATTTGTCTATCTTTCTTTGTCGAAATATTGAAGGTCATTTTGATTTTATGACATTCGAGGGTCATGAAGAAAGAGAATCTGTCTCTTTCTCAACTTAAAGACGCATATACATTTCAACAAAACTGAAAAAAATTTCCTCTTGATATCACGAGCAGAAATATGAAACTAAAATTTAATTTTTCTCACAAAATTAGTGTTACCACTTTAACAATTCCAGAGAAGCAATTCGGCGGTTATGTGACTTTCATTTTACGAATCGTAGGAGATAAAAGTTGGAAAACTTTAGAACTGATCTTTTGGGTTTAATGACTTTCAGAGAAGACACTTTATCCATAAGGAAATTTTTTCAATTTAAAATTGTACGTCATGTTTCAAGACATTCTATTCTGAGTATTTTCAAAGTTCCATAAATTTCACTCTGCTTTTGAATAATTTTCAAATTTTACTCTTTTTTAAAAAACATTTCTTTTTAAAAAACTTGTCAATCGACAGTTGAAAAATAATAATTTAAAAGGAAAATAAAAATTGTAAAATAACTTTTTTCAATAAAAGGAAAAATAATGTATACCAATTTCTTTGCAAATCGATTGAAAATTTTTTTTCCACCATCGCTATCGTTTTTGAAATAAAAAATTGTTTTTCAGAATGTATTTGTGGTTTTAATGAAAAATCGTTTGAGGAAAAATAAAAAAACTGTCACATTTAAAACACTGACAGCCATATTTTTTACAAAAGAATTTTCAAAGCTTTATTGTTCTCCTCCCATGTCAGCGTTTTCTCGCTGCCCAGAAAAACTCATTTCCTGTGAACTTTCAATCAACATCAACGATATCTCGAGTGCGGAACGTCGTCGTCGTCGTCGTATCACACATGTGAAAATGAGTGCGACATATAGGAAGTTTCAAATTAAGCAAATCCATTAAAAAGTGACAAACATTTATTGCCGAGTCAAAATTCTCATTGCTTTCATGAATTAAACAAAGTGAAATGAAAAGTGTCTTACTTAAGCGTAAGTTGAAGAAAAAAAATTCTTCAAAGTGCATTATGTATGTGTGAAACAGAGGAAAAGGGAAAAGAAAGAAAAAGAATATTTTGCGAGAAAATAAAAGTGTTGTGAATCGTGCTTTAAAGATCAACGACGAACTTTCTTTTCAGCTCGAGGGCATTCTTGAGTTCGAAAAATGTTTAGCGCGCTGTGAGGTCTGCTGGGAATTGCTGGACTCAGAAGAATTAAAGCTTCAGTCAGAAGGAGGAGGTGAGGGTGCGAAGAAAAAAAACGGAAAACTGGAGGCAACATAGGACTTGCAACTGCAAAAATGGGCAAGAAGAACAGCAAACTCAAGCAAGACACCATCGATCGTCTCACAACCGACACATATTGTAAGTAATGCTCATTTAGAATTTCATTAAATATATATACTTTTTTTCTGAGAAATATGAGCCCAAGTATAAATATTTAAAAAAAAGTTGATTCGCATAAAAGGATTCATTGCTCTATAAAAATTACAAAAAATCATTCCACAGGAGATTTTACAAAATCAAGATTTAAAAGAACTATGGTTCTTTAATAGTGCATTGTAAGTTTTATTGTCTTAAATAAACAATTACTTAAAATTCGATCAAATGACATTTTGAACTATGTACTCATCTCGATTCATTCACTTGATATGAACAGACAACAGTCTCCACTAGCTAAGTGAATATTCATTACTATTGTTCTTCTATCAAAATAAACTGCTGTAATATACATTAATTAAATTAATAATTTTTGTTATTTATTACATTTGAGAAATTTTTTTAATTCTAATTCAATCATTGAGTAATTTAATCAAATGAAAGTTTGAAAATTTATGGAATCTTAATTAAGGGAAATTTCAAACGATCGGAACTCGGTAGGTTAGAAATTCCATTGAGTGATTAGAATTTATTACAATGAAATTCATAAAGAAATTATTTTAAATAATAATTATGAAATCAAAAAATAATTTCATTAAATAGTATTTCTGCTTTGGAAACATAAATATGAACAGTTGGCAGAATTTTTGATCTACTGGCAAAAGACTTTAATTTATTATTATTTGCATTACAGGAGTTTCCATTTGCGTAGGTAAATTATGTAATATAATACGAGCAAGTTAAAACTTTTAGAAAATTGATGGATATTTTTTCTAGAACTCATGGCTTCCTTCTCCATCTGCTCTACAATCCAACTCCCTATGCGACCTAATTTTGCATCACGAGTTCTCTCATTGTTCCCATTATTTCATGAGTGTTAGCACGTACACGCATCCGTACCTTTATAGTCCATTATCATTTTTTTTTTTAATTTTTTACGTTTTATCTTAGTTTTTCTCCTACTAGCTCTCTCTCTCTCTCTTTTTTTTCGTTTCTCTTCTCTCATCGTCAGTGTTTCTGGGGATTTTGTTCCTCATTATACAAGCCTTGTTAGCTTGTACAGAACAATGACTTTAATATAACTAGTCGTTGAAACGTGTGAGTTGAGGAATTTTCAGATTTGGCTGAATGACCCTTCTTATATTACAGTGTTAAAGAATATAATTTATGGCGCATTATTAACTTTTATTACAAAGGGCTGTACAGTCGTAAATTTACATTAAAAGAAGCTAAAAAAGATCATAATAATATTAATAGATCTTAATAAACAAATTAGAAATGTTATAATTAATAATTCTTTGTTTGAAATTAAAATGAGAGACAGGAAAAGGGGCATCATGGGGATTATCATTTTTGAGATGACCATTTTTAGTTAATAAACTATACTGCTGCTAATTTAATAGTTGTGGTTACTATTTTTATTGGTTGGTATAACTATTTTGTTAGTTAGTTTAACTAATTAGTTTGTTTGAATAACTATTTAATTAGTTACAAATGCTTAGGCTGACTAACTAAATGGTAACAGAGTAACTAATATAAATTAGCAACAATTCAACTTTCAGTATTAATTAAATTTTAATTTTGACAAAATTCTGAATGCATTTCTTTTTCGTTCCAATAAAATGAAATTAAACAATTTCATAGTAAAATATTTATATAAATAGGAGGAATATTCGACAGTGATGAGAGCATAATTCTTATTTAAGTAATAAAGTCAACGCTGTGGTCAGACATTAAGTGTGAGTTATTTCCCATGTTAAAAAAGAAAGCCCTGATTTGGTAAAACATAAACTTCGCGTGGTGAAACTTTATTCAAAGTTTAAGAAAAAAAGGTTAACATAAAACCCTCTTGCTAAATTAAACGCAATATGAATTTAATTATTTAAAATTCAAGTTATATGTCGAATATAATGTGAATTAAGAGAGATAGTTAATTATAAATTCAACTTTCAGAAAGAATTCAAAATGGACAATATTTTAAAAAGTTGAGGTGGGATCATATAAAAATGACTGGTGCAATCACTCTAAACATAAAATTTGAGGTTGAAATATTACGGATGTAATTGAAGAAGTTGAGGCGGAATAAAGTGTAGAGAGGAATTCGTACTAACTTTTCCAATCGCATTTATGTGCGAATCAATATAAATATTGGCCTAGGCCCAATGCGTATATTTCGTCAAAAAAAATTTCTCCAATTTATGCACCAATGACGTATAAAATCTTGTTGACCTACAACGGAAGATAAATTGAATTTTTCTCAATTATTTAAAATATAGTTTTATTTTTACTGCTATAGATAGGAAAATATAAATTTACAAGTTCTTTCACTTAATAATTAATAATAAAGAATTTTTAAATTAAATTAAAATTTATATTCGACATGACAAGCCGATCATAGGTAATACTTTTGCTAAGTATATTTCAACGCACCATCAAAATACAAATTTGCATTTTTGACAATACAGCATTTCTTTACACGTCCAATAAAATATTGTATAATTTTTTGCAACTGTTATCGAAAAAGTATGCTGTATATTAGTGTTATTTTTCTGCAGGTAAATCCTAAGTAAAGAAATTCTATTCGAAGCATTAAATATAACAATATGTATGAGATAGTGATCAGTTAAGTTTATTACAACTCAACTTTTGGCTTATATATGAAGGTGAATATTGAACACCAGTATGTACATTTTCGTTAAGAGTCAGTGGCGCAAATATTATGAAATCTACTCTAGGAGAAATAGTGACGAAAGTTGTCATATATTAAGCAAGTAATAGACTGCTGCTCTGGGATCATTTCTCGAGTTTGAAACACTGTTAATGAACGGCCACAAGAGACTTGAAATTCTGTGCAAGTGCTAATCTAAATTAATTAAAAGCTTCGCTAATACTGAATAATGTCTCTATATATTTGATTTCAACTCCGCATGGTAGAGAAAATTTTCTTATATTTTCATTTAAAAAATAAAATAAATAATAAAATCTTTTTCAAAGATAATAAAAAAATGATGCACTTGATAAAACAAAAAATATTGAACGTACCTCATGAAATAAGAAAAGTACTCTTTTTTGAAATGAAGAAAACGATTTTCATGAGCGTCTTTACATGAAGAAAAATTTACTACCAGCATGAGAAACGGGACTATATATTTTTCTCCCACGGAATCTCATTCTGATATAATTTATTGCAATGAGAAACTTTTTTTTCACCGAATGAATATCAACCAAAATATGATAAACGACAGAATATTTCTTATTATTCTTAGCTTTACAATTTTAAAACTATTGTAAATGGGAAAAAATATATTGCTAAAACTACACCCAAGAAAACATTTTGAAATTCAAAATATATGCTTGGGACCTACTTTAGAATTGTAATATTATATTCTTAAAATTTGAATGTATTCTTGGTACTTCTAAACGCACAAGTGATTTGAGATAAATCTTTGAAAAGCGATCGATAGTTAGTACCTGCGTTGACTCCTGCAGAATATGAAAAGCACAAAGCTTTTGTGATGGGAAACACACGAATGAAAAAAGAAATCCGATGCTTCATTTTTTTTTCGCAATGCATCCAGAACATTCCGCCGAAATCGGTTACAAGCTTCCGCGCACTTTTATTGTTCATATATGTACATAAAGAAAGCTGTTGATGAGAAAATGAAACATTTTGTTTTTAAAAGTGGGAGACAATTTCCATAGTAACTATTATGTCTAATTAGATTATATTCCAGTAAACATTTTCCCAGTTTTATACTACATCAATCGATTCTGCAAATAATTAATGCACAAATTTCCTTTGATGTTTCATTGACACAAAAACGTTGATTATTTATATAGTTTTTAATTAATCCGAAAAATGCCTTAATGAAGTTTTCATTAATGGAAAGTTTTGAAATATTTTTTTTCTACTTCGTCAGAGTGTTCTCCAAAGCTTGACATTTATTCCAGCAAATTGAACGTCCGTTGAGCGAAATAACGAGGCGAATAGTGCTACGAAATAAAGGAGTAAAACGTAATTGACATAGAATAAGGGGGTGGAGAAAAATTCAACTATATATGTGTCTAAATGACCCGGTGAACCTTAATTAACTACAGTAATAAGCATAGCCACTTCAAAAGTGACGCCCCCATCTGTGCGCACTTTACGTCAAAACTTGATTAAATAGTAATATTCCGCTGGTAATATTCTTAAACCATTGCTTTTCCATACATGTTCCTGTATCATTCTTTGGGGTTACCTATACTCATTACCGAAATCTCAATATTATCTTTATAATTTTAAACGCAGTCAGCTCAATATTCTAAATTTTAGAAGCTAACTTATAGGTTTCCTATATCTTGGGACTTGAAACTTTTGTTAGCCTTGAAAGTAGTCCAAATTTGAGCATTCGCATTTTGGATTAAAAATTTTCATCATAAATTACAATTTGAATAAGTAATAAGTAATTGCAAAGTTCTTAAAACCGATTAAGTGAATGATGAAATTCGAAGACTGACGAGATGTGGCTATACGATTGCTTCCAATAAACCACACCAGATAGACCAGTCACAAACTTCTGCTTTAAAACGAAAATGCGCATTTCTCGAGACCAATAAGGAAATTCTCTGAATCTCAACGCTATTCAAAGGTTTCTTATTAAAATTTTATTTTATCTTCCTTCGTAATTACAAGAGACTTCTCGTTTTTCAAATAGATTTAGATTTGATTAACATACTTTTTCATGGATGATAAATTGGGTCAGAAAGTATACATATTTAGAATCAAAAGCGCGAAAGTAATTAAGACTTTTCATTTATAGAAATATTTTAAAAACATACTTTAAACTATTTTCATCCATATTCTGTTTTCTATTTTCTATACAAATTTTAATCAAAGCCGCGTAAAATGTATCCACAGTAATTGCGGTTGATCATTATCGGATTAAATTATTCAGTTCAAGTAGTAATGTGTAATGCTTTGATCAAACGGAAAGTGAATTACTTTTAATTAAAATAGTTTATTTAATAATTGTCAGAATTTTTGCAATTAAATTCAAACTCAACATTGTGTCAACATTTCAGCGCAATAAATAAATAACAATAGTGTGCAACATTACCCCAACATTGTTTGTGGCAACTAGTCTTCGTCAAGTTATTCGATCCTGCCTGCTGCTTTCAATATAAAGATAATCACTGTTATAATACCTTTTTTTCAACAAGAGCTTGCCGATGAAAAAGAAAGCTAATGACTTTTTCTATACATAAAGTTTCTTTGAAGCGAAACGTGACTTTGTGGTTACGAGCAGATACAAAGTTTGGACCACACCGCAGATTTTCTACACCTTATCTTTCACGTTTCAGTTAGTATTTGCTCTTATGGAAACTGAAAATGAACGAATAAGACTTTGAGTTCAAAAGAAGAAGAGAGTGAGGTGCCTTTGTTGAATTTAAAATGGATATATACAGTTTTGTGTGTGTGTGTGTGTGAGAGAGAGAGAGAGTTTTCTTACAAAAGTTAGTACTTCTCGAAACTCATTTATATCTTATAGCAAAATATAACATAAAATACATTTTGTAAGAAAAAATTACACAGTTCAAAGACGCGAAAAGTAGTATTACTTTAATTAGGTAAAAATAAAATTGTTATTTAATATTTATTTATTTACATCACTTGACTTAAATTTATTTTTAGTTTTGTATTTAATGGTTATAAAAAATGGAAAAACTGTGTAAAATTTTTATAGCTATTGGATATAAAAATGCACCTCACAGTAAATGTCATATATGTATTATTGGATACTCAAGTAATTTTTTTATAAAATATATAAAATTTTTGTTTAGTCAATAATAATTTAGGTACTTATCAATTATAATTTACAGGAATTGAAATACAAGTGACAACTGACATTCAAGTGTTCAAGTCATCTGTTTTTGGTGTGAAAAAGGTTTATGTCAGTGTACGTGATTTTTGACGAAAGAAATAGGTTAAATATTTGTAAATATGTGTTGTGCGGTCGCCCTTATGTGGACATAAATATCGCCATAAAGTTTTTTTTTATTATTTCGAATTTCTACTTAAAATTTTTAGATCCTCTAGACACATTTATCAACACTTATTCACCATAACTTTTTTTTATTACTTTGAATTTCTGACACTAGATGCATATATACTCTAGATACATTTTTGAAAAAATCCATTTCTTCAAGGGAAAATACTTTCAGCCTGATATTGATTACCAAAATAATATATCACGAATATATATATATATATTTATACAACAAAACACGTTTTGTTCTAAAGAAAGTAGTTGGATTCTGGCCAATATAGCTGAAATTATTTCAACCCCACTAAACTAAATCACAATCCTTGATTCGAGTTTTATAGCCATGTCGTTTCATTGCTTCAAATTATCGAAATTCGGAGGGTGGTTGCGCTTTTGGCTCATCGAAACTTCTGTCGTCAAGAAAAATTGTCATAAATTATTTTATTGGTTTTTTGTGATATCTTAGAATGAAACTAATAGCTAATTTATTTGCATAAAATTCCAATAAAATTCTATTGAGATCTGCCACATTATCTAATAATGGAGTAATAATAATAACTATACACTTTCGACTCCTAGACAAAGAATTTAAAAATAAATTATCTTTTGAATTTTTTCCTTCATAGGTGTTTGCAGAACAGAACTTGGGTTATGCCCGAATGGAACTCAAGTTCTCTGCCCTTCCGTAAACCCCTTGAGTATAGGCAAAAACAAAATAGTTAAAATAGAAAATAATCTCTCAAGTTATTATAGTTTTTTTATTTTTCATTTATAAAAATTCTCCAAACTTTAGCACTATATACGTCAGACTTTTTTTTCTGCTGCACAGTAAAAATCATTTCATAAAAGACGCAAAGCGGAAAGCGAGCTGCAATAAAAGAAAAGTATAAAAACTAAAGTATAAATAAAATGCCAAGTTTATTTTCTAACGCATTTCAAATATTCGTGCAGTTTAGCAGGAATTTAAGCTTTCAAGAGCGAATTGAAATTGGAATGTAAATAATCCGACAAAAAGAAAAGTTGTACAAAGTTTAAAAAATATGAGAAACCTCACCGAAAAGCTGTAACGGAAATGTATAAATGATATATAAAATGGTTTTTATTTTTTATGCAATTTCTAGTTATAGAAAAAATAGCCATCGACGAACATAGACGTACTTTTTGTTTACCATAAAAGCCCCGGAACATGACATGTTGGAGTAATTCCAACGATATATGACATTCAAATGAAACTTCATTTACATAGTTGAGAATGTTTTGCACACTTCGACCTATATAGATACATGTGGGTGTTACATGCACCCTCGTCGAAATTAAAGGGCAGCAATATACCGCTGTTCGAATTGTATGATTGTCATCTATCGGTTGACAAATTCTTATTAGACAGTTGATCATTTCTGGGTCATATGGGATTGAAAAAATTACATTTTATAAACAGGCGATATACTACAAAAGTCACAAAAGCAAAGTTACTATTTGATAAAATTTAAAATTTATATTAGTAATACAATACATAAACATACAGCATCCGAACCATTTTCGTTGATAGCGTTGGTTAATCTTCACGGGTGAACAAACAAAGCTATATGAGAAAGCTTTAACGAGTATAATAAAAGTAGAATATTAACGAAAATTGAAGGTCTGTTTATCTCAAAGTTGAATTGCAATATCGCCACGTCGGTTATATAAGTAATGCAATAAAACGCGGAGCTATTTCGCACGAAAATGTACAATATAATTCTAGCTTATTACCGTCAAGAGGGAATATAATTAATGAACGTAATCTCGCAACCTCATATATTTCTATAAATGTTGTTAATTTTCCTTTATAATTCAACATTTTAGTATAAAATCCGTTGAAATCAATAACAAATTATATTAGCTATTATAATATCTCTGAACAAATGAACGATTTTAATTAAAGAAAAAAGATAAATTTTGAAAAAAAATAAAAATGATATTTACCATCAGAATATTTGTCAGGAAAGTAGTTTTTGCAGATTTTTAAATATTTTCTTTATACCCTCTAATTACCATCAGTCTAACCCTCAGCTTTTCCCTTCCAGTTTGAAGGGAAAAGTTTCCACTCGTAAATGAATAAATAAATAAATAAATATAAAGATTTAATCAACTGCTAGTAATTAATGATCGTTTCTTTTTTTCAGTTACTGAAAAGGAAATTCGTCAATGGTAAGTCAACATATTTTTCAAACTAACAAAAATAAAATTTCTTTTTAATGTTTTGTTTTATCAAACAAGATATTTTGTAATAGTTCTTACAAAAAATTATATATTTAATCATTTTTTTTATATGTGGCGTCCGCATGAAAAGGGACCACTTTAGTTTCTTTCGTAAGAACGATATTCGCATTAATAATCACACAAAAATAATCCTTATTGTAATCGACAAAGTGGTCTCTTTTCATGCGGACGTCTACATATTATATTTATAAAACTATAACAAAAATTACATTTTTTTGTAAAAAGAATATTTTGCTTCAATAAAAAAATTACTTTGTACGAGTACAGTTTTAATAAATTATTATAACAACATTTTTGTATAAAAACAAAATAAATATTTGATATAAGAAATTGTTTGTTCAAAAAATTGTTTGTACCTTCGATACACGTATATTAGAAAAAATAGTATGTTTAACACGGGAGGGGAGTTGTAGAGTCTCTACAGCACTTCCGACAATCACTCAATTTCCGTCCTTGTTGCACAATATAATAAATCTCACCTTCTTGTCGAATTATTATCATTCACAGTTAAAATAAAAATAAATTAAATTAATTTTCTTTCAAAACTAAAAACTATTAGTATTACTTTTTTCTAACATCACTTGAAATTATTATATAATAAAATTTTTATTTTATTTTATGCAACAATAATAATTAAATAAAAAGAAGAATTTTTCATTCAAACAATTTTTTCCAGATCGACTTCTTTACTTAAATCTTTTAAATTCAGATCACTACTTTTACTTCAGGCACAAAGGATTTCTGAAGGACTGTCCAGACGGGCTGCTTACCGAACAAGTAACCATTTTTTTAAATCACTTAAGGTGTAACACTTCTCTGGAATTTATAAAAAATTGATTTTTTTTCTTCAATGTTTTGTGTTGTATAAATAAGTTACAATTGATTTTATAATTTAGATATACTTTTGTAAGGTTCCAAAATACTTGGAAAAAAAAACAAAAAAATATGTTATTCTAGAGTAATGTTACCCCCTCAAACAAAAAAAACATTTAGCTATAAAGGAAGCTAACGCATAAAACATGTGTTTCAGGGTTTTATCAAAATATACAAACAATTTTTTCCACAAGGTGACCCATCAAAATTTGCATCTCTTGTCTTTCGAGTCTTTGATGAAAACAACGTAAGTGTTTACTATAATTGTCATGTTAATGAATTCTAACTTAAAATTAAAGTCTACTGTCATTATAATTGAAATTATTTATTTTGAGGCTTTTTGTAATTAAATTGTTAAACATAATTTAAATTTTATTTCAGTAATATATTTTGTGACGATTTTTTTCGTTCTTTTTTTGAAAGTAATTTATCTATTTTCATTTCAAAAAATGCAGGCACAATAAGTTTCATATTTTATACGATTTTTATTGTTCATTCATTCAAATGAAGAGATACGTATTTTGATTGTTTGTCGAAAATAATTTTTCGCAGAGTTGTTGGTTATTTGATGTACACTATCTGACATTTTTCATATGCACTTTGAATTTTCATTTTTTGATAACAGTTTCCAATTTTCTGCAAAATTAAAATGCAAAGCCATATTTTTTTACGTATACGTTACAATTAGCATTCATTGCCCAAACAAAACTGTTTGAATTTAGATCTTTGCATTCTGCAAATGTTTATCTCCACATAAATTACAAATTTGGAAGTGTTATGGCCCAAATGCATTTTTTTATTATTTATGTTTATTTGTGCAAATAAATAAGTTACGGTGACGTTATAAAAAAAAATTAAAGAGAAATGGACGATCTCTTACTGATCTGTGAAATTTGAAAGCTACATGTCAGACGGATAAGTCTTGGCAGTCAATTTCAGTGAATTCCACAAACTTAAACCAATTCAATGTTCAAGAAACTTGTGCCGCAGATATTCTGCATTAAGCTGATCTACAAATTATATAATGCAACAATTTATTCACATAACTCTGCGAATAAATAGCTGCAAATTTGAAACTCTTTTATCCCTGATTAAAATTACATTGAAATAAGTTATTCTCTGGGGCCAAATAGCTCGACAGACTAATAAAAATATTCATGTTGTTATGTATTATTTGAATAACATAAGAAATTATTTTTTACAGGATGGTACGATAGAATTTGAGGAATTTATAAGGGCGCTGTCTGTAACGTCGAGAGGCAATTTGGATGAAAAGCTACACTGTAAGTGAATTTTTCTTTCCATTGCGAAAAGTCCACTTCTCCTTTTTTCATAATACTACATTGTATTAATCATAAACAACTTGTCATATTGACAATATTTCTTCCCTCTTTCATCAATATAAACATTTCTATTCCCAACTTGGAAAAAGACAGCTTTGACAGAAATATTGCATATTACTCAGCTTCTATTTTTGTAAAGGGCACATTTTGTCTTTTCGGAGAATGCAGATTGATATGTTTCCCACTACGTCATGGATTAGTTTCTCAAGTATATGATTGATAGGACAAATATTTTTCAGTAAAAAAAATAAATTTATTTAAAAATTCAAGTCAAAGTAAAATAATTTACCAAAGGTATAGTAAACATATTTCTTTCTATCAAAAGAAGAAGATATTTTTATAAAATAATTTTTCTAGAGTTAAAGTAAAATTGAATATTTTCATGAAAAATACACATCTTGTGTTCTTTTAAAGTATAGTTTCATATTCATGGACTTCCACTTGAGGTGAAATCGAATTTCTCAACTTGCAAAATGAAATTTTTAAAGTTGACTATACGAAACTTTGAACGATAAAAAGTTTTAAATGAACAACGTTCAAAGTTTTCATTTAAACATTTTTATGTTTGACTATTTATTTATTTAATCATTGCTCTTAAAATTTTAAACCAATTAATGATTCTAATACCAAAAAAAGATATTCTAAATCTAAGAATTTTCGAATAGAATATTTTAAAAATATAATCCATTTCTTGTACTTGAAATATAATTTTTTCGATAAAGCTAATGTTTAATGTAAGAATATTTTTCAGGGGCATTTCGATTATACGATGTCGACAATGACGGTTTCATTACACGAGACGAGATGTACAACATTGTCGATGCAATATATCAGATGGTGGTAAGTCGATCGATTGCTGGAAACAAGCTATTAACTCTGTAAGCGCCAGAGGTTCTAACACTTAATTCTAATGATTTGTGAGTCCTTTTAAGATTATTTCATACTGTGTGTGAGAATGAAATTTTCATACTTTAGTTGATCAAATTTCGATCCGACAATTGCAATTTGCTTTTCTATATTACTAATGTGTAAAAGCACAAATATAGTCGCGGATTTTTTTAATACGAAACAGATAGTGTACCATAAAAAAGTTATATGAGCAATATATAAGTTTACACGCAACTGAAATTAGAAATTTCGTATAATAAAGGCTATATTTCAATACTATGAAACTGGAGAACTTAACGGCTCCACTAAAAATACACTTAAAAAGGCAAAATATAAGTTAATTTCAATTTCCATATTGTAGGTTTAACGTGAAATTATTTTCTTTTGTTTTGCGATGCAATATAGGAATATACAATTGTATTTTAATGCAAGTAAGAAATTGAATTTTTGTTAAAGGGTCAGACGCCTCAAGCAGAGGATGAGAACACGCCTCAAAAGAGAGTGGATAAGATCTTCGATCAAATGGACAAAAACCACGACGATAAATTGACCTTGGAGGAATTTAGAGAAGGGAGCAAGGCAGATCCAAGGATCGTTCAAGCTTTATCGCTAGGAGGTGGGACTCAATAGTCGGTTGATTGAGACAGGGCGACTCCCTGTGATATTCAACGCAATCGAAACTTGACTTCACCTGCTCGGAGAAGTACAAGTTCAAGGAATCGGACCCGAGCCCGCTTGGTCCTTTCTCACGAGGGTAACGATCCACTTCCAAATTGACACTATCAAAGTCGTTCTTGTTCATCAACGGAAAACGCCAACACTTTGTTGCAATTTAGTCAAAACCTGCGATACTGGTGCCTGTGATATTAACGGTCTAATTCACATTAATGTTGGCGATTTCACGCGCATCAAAAACGTCCAATATCAAAAAGTCACTGCTCATTGTATAGCAAAATTAATTACTTTATTTCATCTTCCTATTCTCTTTTATTTCTTTAATGAAATCTTCAATTTAAGTCATTTTTATTAAGCGATTGTCAGGCCTGTTAGTGTTTCTTGCTAAAAATTTATAATTCATAAGAATTAGTATTATAATAATATAATATAATCAGTGCAGTGAATACAGGGCATAAGAGGTCAATTTTTTGACCCCAGGAGTCAAAAAATTATGTTTCAACAAAATTACCGATGTCTGTTTCTACTATCATCTTATCCAAAGTTAACAAATATTTAAATATTGAAATTTTTCTCTAAAAATTGCAATCGAATATTTTCACCAATATAATATTTCCTCTAGGAAAAAGCAAAAATAAGTAGGTTTTTTGGAAATACATCTTAAAAACGACCTCTTAAAGAAATTCACTCTTTCGCATACAGTAAGACCTTTTCATTTTTCTTGTTATTAAGCTAATCATGTTTAAAGTTGTAATTTAATTCTTTATATTATTTAGTAAAAAAGGAGACAACTCTAGTTATAAAGATCGTAAATGAATTAATAAAAAATTTGGAGTAATAAAATATCAAAAATGTAAATATGGAAACAAAAATCGTATCAAATATCAATTCCTTTTTCACGTGTACAGATACTCAATTAAAAATGTAAAAAAAAATTGCGCACAGAGAAAATTAATGAGATCTGCCCGTGAAAAAAATAATTGAAGAACGGTTTTAAAAATTTTTTTAAAATAATTATGAGTAAAGTATTTTGTGGCTATTAAATAGATATACGACGAGAAAAGCATTGTCCTCTGATTCTTCCTTTTAATCGGGAGTAGGGAAAAATTTTTAAAGTTCAAGCAGAAAATACGAACAGTATCGATCCGTCTATGTTGGTTGAATGTGAAATTCCCAGGAAAGAGTTGCGGAAAAGTGGAGTAAAGAAAAAGTTAAAAGGGGGAGCAGGGAGTAGATGAATTTGCCCTTTTTTTCAAACTATTGATGCTGTTTTTTAGTCAAGAATTCTGTACAAAAGTTCGTTCTGATTTTCTTCCAAGTCCTTGTTTTTTAGGGTAAAAATTTAACAATTCCGTCCAATATCTTAAAAAAAATAAAACGTGTCAATAGTTTATTATTTTATGATAAATATTTCTTAAATCTCTTTAAGTTTGCCAAAATGCCGAATATATTAAGAAAAATCACAAAAGTTTTTAAATATTTAAAAAATTATTTTAAATTTCCAGAAGGTGTCGTAATTATTGCAAATATTATTCAAAATTTAATTCTATTACAGTAAAGAATTTTTTGCCAAATGTGTTGGAAATTGAAATGGGAATCTGATCTAATCTAATATGTCGATACAAAGATTCCATATGTTTTCTTTGAAATGAATTTTAAATTAGACACCAAAAATTATTAAGAAGAAAAAGTAAGAATTAAGAATTTATCACTATTTTAAATAATAATAGAGAAGATATGGATCACTTCTCGATATCTTCTCTATTCTTATAAAAAAAAGAAAAAAAATGCTTTCACAGTGCAGAGTATTTCAGAGATTTAAATGAATATTTTCTTTTCTAATATTTAAATCTTTCACCGTTGCTGGAGAAAATAAAGTGGATTATGAGATGTGTGGCGATACCGAGTGTTTTACGATCGCCAAGTTCCATGGGGTAACTTCCGCTAGAAAAGTGGATTTTTTTCATGATTAACTTTTGTGTTCGCACGTATGCATACCTCTTTTTAAAGACTATACTTTCTCCAACGATATGTAATATATTTAATTAAAAACATAATACATTTTTTTATTGTTTTCATAGAGAAAATAATTGACATTTACGAAAATAAAAGCATGTAAAGTGTGGTCCATCAGACGTTTGCTAAAATTTGCTATTTAAGTCTAAATGGGGTAAGAGAAATTAGATCTGATTGTTATCTAGAACTTGAGCTTATATCATAATCCTACTTCCGTCATTCTTCCTATGATGCTTCACAGAACAAACAACATATGACAAAATAAATCACCCAATTTCACATATCATCTCACAAATAATATAGAAGGTAATAATTAATTAGATTAAACCCAGTACTTGAAGCTACTAATAATATTGTATTTCCTACTAAACACAAACAACTAATAAAATTAAATGATATCAGCAAGATTACTAAATTAGGTAATAAACTCTGTTTGCAATTAAAGAATTTCACAGCAGCCTTAGAAATAAGAAGATTGAATCTCTTGAAACAAGTTATAATACAAGTTTTAATCCACCTTTACAAAATGATTTAAATACCCAACACTGACAAGACTCCAGAAAAAATTAAATGAAATTTCCTTAGCAAATTAGTTTTCGAAAAGCACACATAAGAAATTTGAAGACACTCTACCTCACTGAATTTACTCACACCATGGTACAGTTATTGCATATCTAGATGTGCTTTTGATAAAATTTTCTAAGAAGGAATCATATACAAATTACAAAAATCAAATGTTTGTACCAACATTACTAAAAATCATTCTCTCTTCCCTCTCTAATAGAAGCTTGATGGTAAAATCACATCTATCAGAACCTCACGGGTCAGTTTTTGGGGCTATCTCATTATCAAAAAAAATAATAATTAATTTCTAATTTTCGAGCATTATTCAAAAGAATGGGCAACGTTCGACAGTTTTTTTTTCATTACTAAGAATCTACAAGGAAACCGAAAGCAACTTGAGTTACAGAGATAAACAGCAGTGTTATCATGCGAGATTAAAATTCTGCTGCCAGACTTTTCCGCAACTTTTACCTTTTTTTATACACTTTGAAAAGTAATCCTAAAGGGGTTATAAATATGCCATTAAAACTCTGTTTTTTTATCTACATTCGATTCAATAGATATATGAATATGCCATGGTCTACAAAAAGGGACCTATCATCCAAAAACAATAAGTGTTCGATAAAACAGCTGTTAAAGTAAACAAGTCGATAGTAATGCGCTTGCGTGTTGCTGTCGCTTAAAACTCGTTACACCGAAACTTTCAGGGTCGCTGATTATGAATTTGACATCAGATTTTGAAAATACAAAATGGCGGATCCAATATGTCGGGAAAATATTTAGAAACTCGTTACTTATATATTTTTGAGATCTTTCTTCGTAGACCAAATGTCTGTAATATAGTTTTAAAATGAGTTCATCTCAATCAATGAGAGTTAATCAATTTCTCCAGCTTTAAATAAATAAAAAGCTTAAATTGGTCACGTATTCGAAGAAAAATTGACTAAACCAGGAATATTTATAATGATTTATATGTGTTCAGAAATTTCGAGTTTATTGTGATTATAAAAATTCTTTAAATTCATTATAAATAGGTTTCATATACTTCAGTTTCAAAGCTTTTCGACTACATATATGTTAGTCCTCTTTAGCATCAATTACAAATATTACTATTATATATTGAGATTAGATTATTTCATAATAAACATCAAGATTTCAACAAACATTGGTTTAACTTATATATATATTTATAAACGTTAAATCTTCGTGCCGACACCAACGGCACGCAAGACAAGCAACTCTTCTATTATTATATTTATTGGGTTTATATACAATCGTTATTTATTAATGAAATAAAACTTAAAATTCTCATCTCATTATAATCACTCTTATGATTTTAATGAAATATTTGATTTTAATAATTAGTGCAAAAATTTTATCTTCAAAACCGCACCATCTTGGTCTAAGCAAGAAATTTTCAAATGTAATTAAGAATGGAATATGTGATGCATATTCTAAGAAAGGGACCTAGAAGTAAAAAAAAGAAGTTATGTTTATGATAGTTTTACCTTAATTAAAAGTTCTTTTTTAATTATGTAAAATCAGAATCCCTTGGTTATCCAAGGTAGATAGTTTCCTCCGATTTTGAAGCTTTTACTGCTACCACTCGTGTATGACTGACGTCCTGGTTTACTTCTTCTTTTTGTATTCAGGTCCAGTTTCTTCTGGATCTTCATTTTCACAGCATAACTTAAAGAGCACGTACTCTTCTTTTTACAGTCGCTCATCATGTTGTTGTCCCGTATCGTTGAATCCTCGAACGTTAACAGGGTACTGCCATCTCGCCAGGATGGGTCTTGAACCGCCTCCGTTCTATCATTGTTCGAAGACATTGATACGACGTCCAGTGTCAGATGAGCTACGGACCTCGGAGGACGATGTATCTCTCACAGGGTGGAAGGTAATCCTTGCATCCTGATGACAAAGTTTGTATATAATATTAAGAGTTGTTCTTCTTTGTGTATTTTCACTTTAAAATACCATAAACATTACCTATAATTTTTTACTTCTTAGATCCCCTTCTTCAAAGCACGTCACTAACATACAATACAACATTTAGAAATCGATCAAGTATTAGAATTGTTCCTACAAAATCTGTATTTGGGAACCAAAAAGAAAATAAAAAGATAAAAGTCGAGAAATTGTTCGACCTCATTATCGCTTTTCGATATATCGTCGTCCTTGTTATCTTGAAAAAACATTTACAGTCTGATAAAAGTCGTCTCATATTTAGAAATGTTGCAAGAACGAACTTATACTGAAATATGTATACTCTTAATTATAGAAAAAAATTCTTTTCAATAGAATATAATAGGATTTACTTTTCCTATATTTAATTAATATTCATAATATATATAATACAATACTAATATTTTATATAATAATAAATATCATATTTAAGAGAAAAAACGTTGTCAATATTAATATTACTGTTAACTGATAAAATTAAACAAATAGTTTATGAATAAATATATAGAAACTTGAAAACATTGAAATATTATTTTCTCTTTTTATTGGAATTAAAAATTGTTACTTTTGTTACTTTGTCAATTCAACAAATTTTTTCAAGTTAATAAAATTTACAATGTTATTAAACAAAAATATTCTATTGCATCTCGTCATTTTGAAAGTGGACAATCCTTTTCTGGTCGAAATCTATACCATGTTAAAATAAAGTAGCTCAATTAAGCAATAAGTTTTGGTTTTATAGGAAAAAGACTTATTCCTATTTTCTCAAAATTGTTAAATAACTTAATAATAATAATAATAATAATAATAATAATAATAATTGAATTTTAGTCGCAAAATTAAATAAAATTTTTTAAAACAAGATTCATTAACTTTTTAACAAAATTAATGAACAACATTTTACTAAAAACAACAGAAAAGTACTGAATAAATTTTAAATATTTATTGACTAAAAAGTGTTTTAACTTTTC